ACTGGGTGGCAGAATAGGGCCATGTGACACACACACACACACACACACACACACACACACACACACACACACACACACACACACACACACACACACACACACACAGAGAAATGCACTCACACTTGCGGGTGTGCATCACATGATGATGGAGGGACTCACAATGGGATAATGTCTGGTCCACATTTTAAACATCACATGTGTGGATATAATCTGAGCAGACACACTGGTGCTTTTAGTGAATCGACATGCATCAAAGTAATGTATCTCCAAATGGAACTGCAAACTTTCATTGATTTCTTTGCAAGGTTTTAAAAAAACCTTTTTACGCCTAGTTATAAGAAAATTCTTCTTTGTCGAATGTATTTACCACAATTTGTAGTATTGAGCCTACTACAAGAGTCAAATGTCAAATGTGTTTCTTTACTTATTTAGTCTTCTTACTTTCCCTTTTATCGTCTCATACTCATTTTGATTTCCTTGTTCCTAAATTATTCGACAATCAGCTTTATAGCAAAGCTGGAGAGAGCAGAAGAGTCTTTGTAGCCAGAAAGTACAGGAAAGAATTGCACTAAGTTATAATATATAATAAGGTAATTGCACTTGTGAGTTTTCAATTTTGTATTTGCTTTGACTTTTTGCAGCACTGGATTCAGCTGCCAAAGTGCATCTAAAATTAAGTTAAAAAAAAAACTACATCCATGCAGCTTCAACAGTGAAATGGTTATTTTGCTATATTGCATTAGTATTTACATCACATTTTTGTCTTTGATACAAATACCTAAGTAACTCGACAGCTTTCTGATAAAAACAAAATACTGAATGTATCGATAGGGGTGACATGATACACCGGTATTGACCATAAATGTTACATTTTTTTTAATGAATTATCTATTATTGTTTCATGCTCACACCAACACTGTTTGGAGATGTTGAGGCTGCAAGAATGTCTCTATATTTGTATAGATATCGCGAGATTACCCATATCGTGATTTATTTTGTTATCACAACAGACCTAACCGATACTATTGGCAAATGTAGCTAATTGTACTTGAGTAAGATTTAGGCTATACACCAACAAACAACAAAATAGGCAATTGAACTTTAAATCACAATATGGTATTAAAATATTGACGCATTGATATGTCCTCTCAAGGGCTCAGTAGTAAATCATAACCGCCTGGTCACTATAGAAACATCCAGAATAACATATTTAATATATGTGCATCCAACCATATGCTCTCATTCAGATGTACAGTAATTAGCTATTCGGTGTGTCTTTCAGAAAATCCCCGCACTGGTAAAGGAGACATTCTCCGTAGAGGTTTCTCAATACTCTAATTTCCCCTCCTCGACTCCTATCCTCGACTCCTATCCTCGACTCCTATCCTCGAGACTTAGTGCCGCCCACAGGAGATGCGTTACATCAAACGTCAGACGCGTGTCCGTGGCCCTGCGTGCGTAATGAAAGAGCGCGGACCAATCACAGGTGGGAAGACGGACGAAGACCGTTTAGGGTAAAACAGCAAAATCATTAGCTGGAAATATGATTGGCGTTATAAAAAAACGATATTGTGTTTAGTCAATAACACATTTTTATTATAAAGGACAATCCATGTGAAAATCCCAATGGTTGAAATTTAAACCAGGAAGCAGGAGGATGGACAATTAGCCTATTTGTTTTTTATATGTCCTATACAATCCGCGTTTGGTCTACTGCACATGTTAGTCTTGATTGATAAAGCTCTATACCAGGCGAGATTTTTACAATAAGAAAAGGTGAGGAAAGGACGTTTTCCTCCATGAAAAAACATCTGTAGTGAAATCAGTTTCATGGTCAGGGAGTCAGACAGACACCAGGCCTTGGTTACACCCTGTACGATACATTTCTATATGAAAACACATCAACATACACCTTCATTTCCATTTTACGCACCCTGTTTATCCATTATCGAGTATATTTGCAGTGGGAACACGTCAGTTGTTTCGCGCAGCGGCGACAGCACACACACACACACACACACACACACACACACACACACACACACACACACACACACACACACACACACACACACACACACACACACACAGAAGCAGTGCCTGGGGGAAAAAACAGCTCTCACCCAGGAAAGCACTCTGAGGATGGTCTGCGGCTGTTTGGCGAAGCTAATCGGGTCGATAGTGGACCCGGTCCGGCCCGCTCCGAACGATCCCACTCCGTCCATCTTCACTCTCTCTCTCCCTTTCTGTCTCTCTGTATCTCTCTCTCTCTCTCTCTCTCTCTCTCTCTCTCTCTCTCTCTCTCTCTCAGTACGCTCCTCCCGTCTCCTCACTCAGCAGGATGGATGCGCTGCTCTGCTGTAGGGACGGGTCCTGCGCGCTCACGTACATGAGCGCAGGCACAGAGGAGGACGCGGCGACTTACGGGAGCGTGCGTAACTGGCGACGTGACCGAGCTATTGAGACAGTTATGGGGTTAATTATAACAGAGGTGGGAGAAGTACTCAGATCTTGTACTTAAGGTATCAGAGTGTAGGAATACTGTATTACAAGTAAAAGTCCTGCATTCAAAATGTTCCTCAAGTAAAAGTACAAAAGTATTAGTCAAAATATACTTAAAGTAGGCCTACCAAAAGTAATAGTACTCGTTATGCAGATTGGCCCATTTCAGAATATGTTTTAATTTTAATTATTGGTCATTAAAGTGTTCTCAAAGCTGGTAAAGGTGCAGCTAGTTTGAATGACTTTGTATACTGCAGGGTAGCTTGTGAATTTACTCCAGGTGGAACTAAAGTCTGATTTAAGAGTTGATTATATTTCACATCACTTATCCAAATCTGCAAAGTAACTAAAGGTAAAAGCACACTATATTTACCTCTGAATTGTAGTGGGGTGGACGTATAACGTGACATAAAACGAGTTAATTTACTATACTGTACACCTCTCCAACATGGAATATAATAGTGTATAAGAATTATGTTCTAAGGGTTATAAATAAGAGGGTAACCGACTTCCACTTGGGAAGAATAAATAACAAGGAGGCTGTTGGTTTGTGTTAACAAAATGGACTTGCGGCCATAAAAGGATTTAGTTGTATGCTTCTATAAAGGTGGATGAGTCATAAGAGACACATACAAAACAAATTTGTGAAAATAAAAGCCAAGACTTTTGTCAAGCTCTAAAAAACATTATATAAAAGAAATCTAAATCTAAACATGAGGCACAAAGAACTCAAGCACCATAGACCAAAAATAATATACTGAGTGAAATATCCTTCATGAAAAAAGGCATGCAGAAAAGTCTCATGATGATGTAGCTATGCCAAATACCACAACAGAGAGAAGTCACATGTTGCTTATCATGGGATATTTTCATTTACTGTGACCTCAACAATGCCCATTGAGTATAAGACTAAACGGTCTCTTTGTGGAATGATAAGCTTCAGTGGGTTGAAATAAACTTCTAATTGTGAAAATGCAGCTGCCATTTTCACAACTAATGTTGTACTAACATGAATTGTTTTATGGAATCTGAAATACACACATGGCTTTCACCACTAGAGGTCACTGAGGTCTCCTTCCTAATTCAATATCTTAGCAGTAATGTTAAAGGGGCCCTATTATGCTCATTTTCAAGTTCATATTTGCACTGTTGTTATGCAAATATGATGTTACACAAGTAAATATCTCAGGCAGGGGGTTGGGGGGGAGTGTGGGAGAGAAACTCCCTCTGGAGGGAACTTTAGCCCTTGCAGACCATTCACATGCACAATAACCTGTATAACACACATAACACCAGGAAAGGGAAAACCAAAAAATGTCCCCTTTTAAAGAGAGGATATAAAAACATACTTGTATCAAAAAAATGTAAGCCACAGTTAAGGATGGTTGAGTTGTGTTGGTGTATGTGGCACAAATACTAAAGTCATTTTTAGGATGAAAAGTGAAACCAAGCGGCTGATCATTAGAGTTGTTGGAGTGTGTCCTCTGGTTCCTTAAATAACAGATTCATATTTAGAGTGTTTATTAATAACACACAACAGATCAGATCACATGGCTGAGGTTCTGATATCAAAGTCCTTGGACTAGAGGTCACATGTTTTAATCATACATTAGTCCACTAATCCATTGTCTTATTGACCAGAGCCCAAAGTGTGTCTTCGGATGTGCTTATTTTGTCCAACAATCAGTCAAAAAGCAAGTTATAGTGACACAAATAAGAGAAACACCAGGATTGATCAGTTTTGAGAAGCTTTAATCAACAACATATATGTATTTATTCTTATTTAAATACTTAAAGGACCAGTGTGTATGATTTAGGGAGATTTATTTGCAGGAATGGAATATTATATTAATAACTCTGTTAATAACTTTCTATACTTTTCCTTAACCTTGATGGAAAGGATCAAGATGTCAAGGAAAGATGTGTAGGAGGATTCATAAGGACTTAGCAATAAGCAAACAAAGTGCTAAGAGAGAGAGATTGTACTTTCACAAGGTTATGTAAATATGCGATGGAGGATATCATTGAGGAGTCTGTATTCACCTAAAATGTATACCATCATTTCTCACATTCAGTGAGTTGCAATGTGCAACCTCACCACTAGATGCTGCTACCTCTTACACACTTAAATGATCAATGTTTACTCATTGCAGCACAAAATAATGCAAATAAATAAACATACTTTGCACCCTTACATGTAAACAAACTGGGTAGTATGCAGTGAAAAATCAATCTAATAATCATCATTAAGTAAAATATATATAAATTCAAGCTTAGCCCACAAAACAACATTTGAATGGCTAAATACCTTTGTAAATTACTAACTGCTTTAACAGACAAGTCAGGGCTAAATTGGATTTACATTTTTCAACAGTTGTATCGCAAACTTTTAAAACTCACTACTGGAATAAACAACAAGTTTAGTGAATCTTTGTTTTACTTTGAGTATTTGTTATAACCGCAGAAACAGAAAGGGATTTGTGTCACTCAGTTATATTAACTGACCACAAAGCCCAAATTTGAAATGGACCACATGGCCGATATCCACACGTAAAGTTTCTCAACATTAGAGAAATGAGCTCCAAATTGTTGTGCTCCCACTCAAAGTTTTGCACAGGAAGAATTTCTCCCCTCAGTCCTCACATTTCTTATTGCTCAGTCACAGGAGCCATCTTTCCATCCGTCCTTCCACCTCTCATCCACACGGGAGCAGTCGAACTCAGGCTTTCCCAGCCGGACGTTGACGCCATTGTGAATATTACAGAACCACTGAGAGAGAGCGTGGCGACTCTTGGTGTCCGGCTGATTGGTTTTTAATCTGTGGAGAGGAAATGGAGCATTTACAAATAGCTTGCTCTTTTAAAATAACATATTTAAATGTGTCTGTCAGCCTGTGTATTGAATCTTAAAAAGGAACAATGTGGTCTGACCTGCCCCGGAGGTCTTCTGCACATTCCTCACAGGGGAAGAACTTGGAGAAAAGGTTGATGAACTGCCCCATCTCTTGCTGCTGGGTCGACGATGGTTTATCGGGGTAATACGCTGCCATGGTGTGCAGGAAGGACCAGGTGTTACGCCCCAACTCTCCCCGGTCCAGCGGACACTCCTGTTGTGGCTCCAACTCTGCAGCTACGGTCTCCTGGATATTAATAATAAAGAAGAGTGAATAAGCTGGTATTTCAAAAGGGAACGGGCCCAATATCCAGTTGCATGTTGTGGTTTATGTTATTTGTGGTTACATGTGCTTTGCTCATATCCGTTGCAACAGGACCAGAGCCTGAGCAGAACATTTCTCTCTTGGACATCAGGATCGAAAACTTAATTGATAATAAAAGCGCTGGTCCCAGACATTTTTTTAAAGTATCGATTAAGGAAAACACATTTCAGAAGACAGTGAAAATGTTCATCCCGGGTTCTCAAAGTCCAAGAATATGTCTTTAAATGGCTTGTTATGTCAGTCCAAATGTAGTCAGTTAAATATGATATATAAGACTACAAGCGAAGGTCATGATCTGAATATTTATGAGGCTGGACAAAGCATTTTCTATCACATTACTTAAAATATGTATTCTTTTATCACATTTTTCGGTCAATTGAATAACTTATTATTTAAAACTAATTTGTGTGGCTCTACAGCAGAGTGGCTCCCAAATGCATTACACGATGAGCATGGGACATTGCATCATGAAATAACAACTTTCATGATAAAGCTCATAGGGAGAACACACAACTCTAACAAATTGACAATTTAATATCAAATAAGTCTATCTTCTTGTCATACAAACTGTACAACAGTAAAACTAATATGACTATACAGAGATATTTCCACCATTGACTTCACCTCACCTGTACAGGAGTTGTAGTTTCTGTTTTCTGGACTTTCATCCAGGATTTAAAGTCCGTACAAGCCCTGCATGGCTTCTTCTTCGCACCGGTCTGCTCCTGCTCTTTACCGGCGCTGTCCTCCGGTGTTTTAGGGGCCAGCGCGAACGGGAAGCCTTCAAACCCGGTCGGGCTGGATGCTCCTCTCGGTCCTGTGGGCGCAGCCATGTTCTCTCTATATATATTACCTAATTACTCCAAATGACTTGTAGATACAACATCAGGAATGCACGCCTGATAAAATGCAGTTACACCGGACCAGACACATTATTAATGCTTAACTCCACCATGCAGATAATGCCACGGTCATGCGGTGCAATTCCCGATAGATGTGTGCGTTAATGAAACACGGGTCCAAAAAACGCGAGAGAGTTGAGTTTCCTTGCTTCTTCCGGAACCTTAGGGGAACGGAACGACTTCCGGTTGGTGATGACAGTTTTTTGTGCATGCTGCGGAGTGTAGCCCCTTTCAAACTGTAAATATCTATCAAAATATAACATTTTCAAGTGTTGACATTACATGTGTTTCATGTGGATATTCATTTAAAGCTAGATATGTTGATGCACTGTTTTAAAGTGGGTTGTCTTCTGTTAAATCACACTGGTTAGCCGTGTAGCTAACAAAGCTAACAACTGTGGAGTGACACGTTTTCTGTGTTCTGATACTTTCTCTGCTTTACAGTTGTATCACATCTGAACCGCCAACATGGGAATCTTGGATAAAATCGCGGAAATTGAGCGTGAAATCGCTCGGACACAGAAAAACAAAGGTAATAAAGGGAACTAGCCGGGCTAACTGTTAGCTACACAATGAACGCACTTGCAGCCATTACCCACCTTTTTTAATGAAAAATGGGTTTATTGTAATGACAGTTTCAAGGAACAATATTGCCTAAGTATCAACAAATAAAAGTACACAAAGATATACGTCTCTCTCTCTCTTTCATCTCTCTGTGTTTGTGTGTCAGCTGCCAGTGTTGTGTTACTCATTAATCTCACAGAAATTCAAGGAGTTGGTGTTAATTTACACAGTTATCTTGATTACAGTTAAAGTGCCACCACACTTAAAGAAGCAATCCCCCAAAACATGTAAAGTCATAGTTTATGCATTCAGTTAGTCGGATTTAACTCCAGTGTGGTGGTTGTGCTGGTATTACAGTTTTATAGCAGCCACTCTTTACGTTGTAACTACATTATTGTGTACCCCTTCTTTTAAAGGAGCAGTGTGTTCAATTTAGGAACGTCTATTGACTGTGTGTAGTCAAATGAAACTATAAACTGTTTCGGTTCACAGAGACGTGTTTCTACAGTAGCCCAGAATGGACAAACCAAACTCTGGCTGTACACAAGGACACACATGTTTCCCTTAAATTAGCAGCTTGAATTTAATGGCGCAAGTAAACCTGAAGACCACCAACGTTTTCGTGCATGCTGTAAAAAGAGGGGCTTATTCAATTTGTTGGAATCAACATACACCTTGTTTCACATGACTGTTTCTTATTCATTTCTCCAGCCACTGAGTACCATCTGGGTTTGCTCAAGGCCAAGCTCGCCAAGTACAGAGCTCAGCTCCTGGAGCCCAGCAAAACAGCGGGGGTCAAAGGCGATGGCTTTGATGTCATGAAATCAGGAGATGCTCGTGTTGCTCTTATCGGTTTCCCATCTGTGGGTAAGGTAAGTAAACATGCCCGGTAATGATGTTTTCTGCTCTGAATAATCTAAAAAACATGTTCTTTTTTATTCATTAATTCCCCAATGTATCTTAAATTCAAATGTATAGCTCAATGTTTTATTTAAAAAAAGCCAACATGTTAAAAGGCCCTGGAAAGCAAAGAGAAACTTGATACGAACATTTACCATGTGTTGCTGTAACTAAATCCTCTGTTGTGTCCCGCAGTCCACCTTCCTCAGTTTGATGACATCAACCGCCAGTGAAATTGCTAACTACGAGTTCACCACTCTCACCTGCATACCCGGTGTCATAGAGGTACACACACTCACAACACCGCATGATTTAAACATCTGTGCAACAATGTGCCATTTACACTGTAATGTGTCACTCTCCAGTACAAAGGGGCCAACATCCAGTTGCTCGATCTGCCAGGAATCATCGAGGGTGCTGCCCAAGGTATGCTTGGGTTTCTCGGTTTTGTATTTCGTTGTCTTAAACCCAAAGTAAGTAGGTGAGTTAGAGATCAAGTACATCTATTATTTGATTATAATGATGTTCTATCAGATTAGTTAATGAACGATGACGTGTGGAATTAAGAGTAGGGATTCGTTCAACTTTTTATATGGATTCTACCACTCCCAAGTCCCAATAATGAGAAACACTGATTGTGATGTTATTTTATAGGTAAGGGTAGAGGTCGGCAGGTCATTGCTGTTGCCAGGACAGCAGACGTCGTCATCATGATGTTGGATGCCACCAAAGGAGATGTTCAGAGGTGTGTGACAGGCACTGTTTGTGGAAGTCTTTTAGAGGTTGTTCTGGGAAGCGTACATGTAAGTTTATAAACTAATTATTTCCTCTAATCTCTATTTTTTTTCATCGTCTTTCTAGAGAACTGCTAGAAAAAGAGTTGGAGTCGGTGGGCATCAGACTCAACTGTTCGAAACCCAATATTTATTTCAAGGTACATTTTCTATCATCATCGTTCTGGGCGGAGCATGAATATCATCAGCTTGTTTAAAAATGATATAGCTATTCGTTTTTTAGATATCCTGTCAAGTTAAATGTTGGGCACAAGAAAAAAATGGAGGACCCTGTATGTATAAATACAAAAAACATATCATGTTATCTTGCTGTTGCATTATTTATGTGCCTTGCATGCAAGTAGAGCAAAACACTATTAAAAACATCCCTGCTAGCTTGTCAACTCCAGAAATGAATACTCTAATTGTAATACAAAAATTGTTTAAAATGTGTGATTTATCTCCATAGCCCAAGAAAGGCGGCGGCCTCTCCTACAACTCCACAGTTCCTCTCACCCAATGCTCAGAGAAGCTCGTGCAGCTCATCCTTCACGAATACAGTATCCTTCACCCTACCAGCGTCAGAAGAAAGAAACACTTTTCAATGATTTAATGTCAAATCAAATCAAGTTTTATTTATATAGCAGATTTATAAACGATTTTTGGTCGTGCCAAAGTGCTGTACATATAATAAAAATAGCCTACGGTAGAGACACTTTAGAGTAAATACAACAGCACAGATTGTTCAGAATATCAGTATGAGAAAACGACACTCTGTCCTTAGACCCTCTGTCCTTAGACCCTCACACCGTGCAAGGAAAAACTTCCAGAGAGAACCCACAGTTTTAAAAAAATGGGAGAAACCTCAGGGAGAGCAACAGAGGAGGGATCCCTCTCCCAGGACGGACAGACGTGCAATAGATGCCGTGTGTAAATCGAAGAGATAATACATTATACAGCATATAGACCGAATGTTAGGAAATGCATGTGTCTGTAATAAGAAGATGAATCCACGAGGATCAGCTACAATCCTGTGGGAGCCTTCAGGGAGGCAGCATGACGAGACCCAAGGCAGGACCGCAGAGACCGGTTCAGCCACGACCCGAAGTCCACGACTTAATCCAGAACTCAGGATAGAGGATCCAGGACACAGGACTACAGCAGAAGAGCCTCGACTCCGGATCCCGGCGTAGATATAGATACAAAACAAGAAAAAAGATTTGGCTGGGTTAATCGGAACAAGAGAATACACAGACACAGACAGAGAGGGAAAAGATCATTGGATAAAAGTTATTCTTGATAACCCTCTAGAAAGATCTCATGAACTTCCCCACTCAATCTATCAAGACCTGAGCAGTTCTATTAGATATAGGATAAGAAACAGAGATAGGGATAGGGAGCACAACAACAATGTCCATTCAGTCCTCTTTTTATTTCCATGAAGTGGTTTAGAAGCCACGTAACTATCTGGTTGTTTCCTTTAACCTCTTTCCTCTCAGAAATCTTTAACGCAGAAGTCCTCTTCAGGGAGGACAGCACACCAGACGAGTTCATCGATGTCATCGTCGGGAACAGAGTTTACATGCCTTGCCTATATGTAAGTCCATACTGGATCAAAGAAAGACATTATTCCGGAAAGCCAAACAGAGAGCAACATTCCTATCCCAAAATTGCTGTTTTTATGAACATTTTCAACCCATAAAAAACGTATTTGTGAGGTAAAAATAGGAAAATTACAATATTTGCTGT